GTATTTGATGCAGAGGTTGTTCAATCTACAAATGTCTGAAGGTAGCTTTGTTGCAGATCATATAAATTAGCTCAACGTGATTGAAAGTTTTTTGAGCTCGGTGGAAATTATGTTAAAAAATGTAATTAAAGCATTGATTTTGATGTCATCTTTACCCGAGTTGTGGTATACTGTTGTTACTGCAATCAACAGTTCACGAGGATCTGATAAACTGAAATTTGATGAAATTCAAAATGTCAGCGAAAGTATTCCCAAATGGAAAATTGGAGATTCATCAGGCAATGCTCTCAGTGTTGATCGAAGGGAAAGAAGTAAATCAAAGAGCTCAAACAAACATGGGCGACCAAAATCAAGGAACCGAGAAAAATCTCCAAACAAACCAAATGTAAAGTATTAAAATTGTGGAAAAAAATGACACTTTCGGACAGATAGTACAAAATTGAAGAAAAACAAAATCACAAGTTTGAAGATGACAATGATTCTATATATTCAGCAGAAGATAATAAGGATAACAATTTAATTGAATTCTGGATTTTAGATTCAGTTGCTTCATTTCATTTGTCTTCAAGTAAGGAATTGTTTCCAAATTTCAAATAAGAAAATTTTGAGAAGGTGTATCTTGTCGACAACAAATGTTGGAGATTAAAGGGAAAAAAGATGTCTGCATACAAACTCTAGGAGGAAATGAGTGGACATTATAGGATATCAAATATATTCTTGATCTCAATAAGAATCTGATCTCATTGATCAGTTGGATAGCATAGGTTATGCAGCCGAGTTTCGAAAGAGTCAGGGGAAGATTGGGAAGGGTGTCATAGTGGTAGCATGACACAAAATCTAGAACCCTATACACCACTGTAGCGTGACCCCTATACACAATTCGTAATAACAACAACCATGTTTATACACCCTAAAGTAGTGTCAATAGACTTGCACATATGAGCGTCAAAGAAATGAAGATGATGGCTGCGAATGAAGTTTTAGAAGGCCTAAAATTTATTGATATGGGTATTTGTGAGAGCTGCGTTAATGGAAAAATATAAACGAGTTAGCTTCACAAAGGCTGCAAGAGAACCAAAGAAAGTGCAATTGGAAATAATCCATACAGACGTTTGGAGACAATCTCCAGTTTCATCATTTCTAGTACCGAAATTCCATTGGTTAGATGTCTCGCACTCTGCAGCGACAACTCTCTGTTTTCCTAAGGCTAGTGAGATATCTCACGACCACTCTTTTCCTCAGCATATCTTGACACTATAACTTTGATCCATTATTCTCTTATATGGTTAACATTCACTCTTTAATGTCCGAGAACATTTTATAACTACCACGAAACTCAAAACATACAATAAATTTTACAACATATCATATACTTCAAAATATGGTTAGATTGCTTACTTGATCGCGGTGAGACGTGTCAATGAGCTGAGTCATAGAGATATACGACTCTTTATCCTAAGAAAAAATCTGTATAATCTGAAATCCAATTGCTTTGATATCAAACAACTCTTTATTCAACTCTAGTTATTCCTCTTTTTCGCTTTTTTTTCTTTCTTTCTTTATTTTTCCTCTTTATTGAATTCTAATTAACATCTTACTATCCCCTACTTAGGAAAGATGGATCAAAATGAAAAATTTACCCTAGCATTAATTTCGACCGATTTTCCTATTTTATTATTATTTTCTTTTATACTTTTAATGAGTTTTTTTTTAATATTTGTAACTATTTTTTCTTCCATATCATATTTAAATTTGGTCTCTAAATCTCTCAATAAATTCCTAAAAATTTGAACTTAAAAAAAAATTAAGAAATTAATCTTCATTTGAACTCGTGTTACAGCATGACATAACATAATATATGTCAAACACTCACAAAGTACGACACGTGGAGGGGCTACGGAGCACGGGTTGTTAAAACCTCATACAATTTATCCAACCAAACCAATAGTAACACCACTTACCTGGTTGGTCCAAAGAGAAGTCACTAAATTTTGTTGTATTGATGTTCGTTAGATCATACTCATCGATGTCTAGTTCCAAAGCTAAATCCATACCGACTTCCTTCACTCACTTTCTTTTTCTCCTTCTTTATTTGAATCCGCATTGGATAGAGATAAAGAAAGTATGAGTTGGAGATTGAGAAATGGGAAGAGAAATAAAGAATGTGACGGAGGAAGAGGAGAAAATGGGAGGAAGTAGAGAACATGGATAAAATGGCAACTCTTGAGCTAATTTGAACTCCAAGTACCTTAAATAAAGTTGGTCTCCTCTAATATAAGGAATTTCTCTTATGATCATTAAATTCTTATAGACTCCACGCTCAATATCATAAAAACAATTATGCTTTATCTTGAACATGCCAAACATGAAATTAAAGCGGATTCAATTTAACTCCATTTTATTGTCATCTTGAATGATGGGTAGGGTATATTCTTGATTTACCTTAAAGTTCTTGTGGGATGATAGTTTATATTAGTTAAGCTTTTTGCAAAATCACAGTTAAAATACAACAACGATGAACCTAGGTCTATTAGTCATTTCAAAGACAATTTCTTTCTCCATCTTATCGGTAATAATAGTTCAACTAAATCCATATTATGCAAAAAATAAGTTTACGACTCATAACACCAACTACCTAACTTATGACCTAAATATTTGAAAACATAAGTTGTAGTTGATAATTACACAAAAATTTCCCTAAATCAATGAACTCGTGTCCAATTAGTCAATCCTAAAGATTGTAACTAGCATCGAGTAATTGAAGCTCCACATGAAGCAATTTAAATTTCTGGTTACTTAACTAAAGTTTATCTCATCTTTAATGAAGCATGATTTGCACTTAGGTTCATGAAATACTTATAGACTTCAACTCTGAGTACTATTAATGTTTCATATGAGGCAAAATAGAAGAATTTAATCAAACAAACTGATGAACTGAACCGAATCAATCCAACCCAAATTGATTAATTTGTTTCCTTTGTTGGGATGTTGGTTTATTTGATAACTCCGGTATATTATAACAATTCAATATAACATGCCTTACTTACAAGTAAAATATTCGACCATCAACTTTTCATTTTATAACCGTCCAATCACATAGAGAAAAATATATTTGAGTAAAAGCTAAAAATATTGGGTATTTAAGAAAAGGCATTTTGATTAGTGATACGACCCTCACTTACGGTGCAACCTCAAATGCTCCTATGTCTAAATCTTTTCTTATCGAAGGACTTCATATTTATATAAACTTGTTGTTCCTATTATTTACTTTTCAAACATACCTCTTAACTTCTCTACACCAATTGTTAGGCAACAAAGTCAACATAAAGGAATTAGAAAAGAGATATCAAAACTCAAACATGTTCGTAATGGCTTGGCCATTAAGCAGCAACCTAAAGTCTTTCTTTACATCCAAAGGCTTTGTACTTACCATCTTATGTAATAAAGGAAAAAAAAAAAAAAGAAGAAGAAAAACAAAAATTAAGGCGATTAAAACTATAAGGATAATGCTCTTAATATCATTTCATGTTTCCCACTTTCGGTGAGTATGCCTATCCAAATCTTAAGCAGGTCTTCTAGAAAGCTCTTTGTTTTTATTATGTTATTGTTTTGTTATCCAAGACACATTCTACATCCAAGGCTTAAGTTCAAGCGCATCGAGGACTTCATGTGTTTCATGCAATACGACAAAATACGACCTTAATACCTAGGCCCAAGGATTCATACATACGTTTTAAGTGGCATAACAAGGGCATTTGGTCTAGTGGTATGATTCTCATTTTGGGTGCGAGAGGTCTCGAGTTTGATTCTCGGAATGCCCCTTCAAGAGAGATTGTAGAATAAAACGAAGTAAATAAATACATTAAAATGACACACATGAAATACATACATTCCCATGAAATTGTGAATGTGAATGATAATCCAAATAATAATTGGATTAAAAAATATCAATGCATTCTAGGTTGAAATGATTCATAAATTATACCTAATTTTCTCCCATTTTGAACCTATTATTGATGACGAGAGGTTTAGGGTTTTGTGACATGAGAATCGTGGGGATGTAGCTCAAATGGTAGAGCCTTTGCATGCGCGGAAGAGCGCTCGCGATATGGGAATTGATACCCCGCTTCTCCAAAATAATACCTATCTATTATTAAATATGTTATTTCTTGCTCGCTTTGCATGTGAGAGGTACGGGGATCGATACCCCGCATCTCCAAAATAATATTATCTATTATTAAATATGTTATTTCTTTTCAATTTTTCCTTAGGCATGACATGTTGAGCAGCGGTAGACGAGAAATTTAGAGTTTTGTGGTACAAGTATTGTGGGGATGTAACTCATATGGTAGAGCGCTCACTTAGAGTTTTATAACATAAGAATCGTGGGGACGTAGCTCAGATGGTAAAGCGCTCGCTTTGTATGAGAGAGGTATTTAGGGATCGATACCTTACATCTCCAAAATAAAACTATTTATTATTAAATATATTTTTTACTTTCAATTTTCCCTTATTCATGACATGTTGAGTAGTGATATTTCTTCATTTCACTATTATTGATGATGGAAAATTTAGGGTTTTGTGATTTAAGAATTGTGGGTATTTAGCCCAGATGGTAGAGCACTCACGTAACATGCGAAAGGTACATCTCTAAAAGAAACTATTTGTTATAATATTTTATTTCTATTCAATCTTTCCTTATTTATGACATAATGAGCCGAAATATTTTTTTATTTACATAATTATTGATGACGGGACATTTAGGGTTTTCTGATGTAAGAATTGTGCGGATGTAGATCAAATGGTAAAGCGCTAGCTTTTCATGTGGGATTGATACCTTGCATCCCTAAATGAATGGATTATTAAATATATTATTTCTGTAATCACAGAAGAAAGAGAAATAGAAATAGAAATAGAAAAAAAAAAAAAAGGAAAAGTCGAGAGAGGGGTAAATTTGCCCCTCCGGCCACCTAAGGGGTCCAAATGAAACCTCATCCACCGTTCTGCAAAAGAAAAATAGTGAGAGAAAGGGGTAGAGAGAACCTAGAGAGAGGAGAAGGGATGAACCGCCGTAAGACTCACCGAAAACTACTGTTGGAGTCTATTCCGATGAAGATCATGATGCAGGGAGACTTTCTTGGAAGGGAAAAGAGAATGTGGGTGGCCAGAGTCCCATTTTTATTCAAGAAATCGGAAAACCCGCAAGGTAAGAATCTTGAACGTTTTCTCAGATCTACGGTTTTTCTTTGTGAATCAAGAGCTAAAATCTTGATATATTCATCTAGGAACAACTCTACGCATGTTCTGTGAAAAAGTTTGGCCGAGATCTCAACCTGAAGGCGGAGGTCCGAGAGTCGTCCGAGAATGGTGAGCGAATTTTTGACGTTCTTAACTCATCCGGTAGTCAAGCAAAAATTACAAAAAAAATACTAGGACGGAGCCCGTAATACGATCTAGAACTTTACCGAAGGAATCATATCGATACGATCTACGGATCGAAAGATATGAAAATCGAAAAAGGGGACTGTGTTTCGGTTTTCAGAGGACAGAGAAGAAAGAAGAAAAAGAAAAGGCGGCCGGTGAGCGGCGTTGGGCGGCAACAGGCGCCAGACACGCGTCGACCATCGGCTAGAGCAACGCAGCTCTAGTGAGGCGTCGACACGTGTTGTCTGCAAGCAGGGCCGAACCGCCAATGCGAGCCGAGCCGACCGAACCAGCCGACCTGCGACTACACGGAAGCGGGCGCGCGTGCAGCCTGCTACTAGTGCCTTCCCACGCGCGTAACCACGCACTCCCAGTGCGTGTGGAACGGCCAATTTGGCCCGATTGCTTTCTGTTTGCCTGATTTTTGTCCCGGTTCCAGTTCTAATACTATTTTTTACGTTAATAGGGACCTAATTTAAAGAAATCAGTATTTTTGGACACCTCACAGGCAAAGAAATGCTAGTAAAACGGGCACGCGTCAACCAGGTAAGTCACCACCTGGTATTTAGGAAGAAATACTTGTAGGATTCGCTTGGATTGCATGCATGCTAGTAGTTTTACTTCAGATTAGCTCTCCATGTAAATTATTAGTCAGAGTATTTGATATGATTGTATTGGGTGAATAACATGAGTGTTGCTGTATGCTTTATGCCTCCGCCGTATGTATGCATGCATTTAATTTATGTTGGGATTGTGTATTCCGTGTTCCGGGTGCTTAATGGACGAATTCGCCCCATTGAGTGCGAACTTCGTGCTCTGGGTGCTTGATGGAGATCATCGCCCCGTTGAGCCGGTATGCGTAGTATGCATGAATTATATAGTATGATGTTAAAAGACGATTGCATGTACACTCTGTTAATTGCTAGGGCCCATTTATATGATAAGCTTAGGGAATTATTGTTAGGAGTGATATGTCACTCCAGCTAGATTTAATTTTCCCGTAGGAACTTAGCGGTTTACCACGACAAGAAGGTACCTCGGAGTGTTCATAGATTGCTAGCGTGAGAACGGTATCTATAGCTTCGTGGGAGGACCAAGGGTCCCTGATTAGTCCTTACTGCTCTTAGCCATTTCGCATGGGAAATGTGTCCCCACGTCGTACAGCCCATTAGCTGCATGGGAACGGGTTGGGTCGCGCCCCCCATAGGGGGACTATATGGGCGTAGGGGTATTCAGCACACCCCTAGGCTAGATACCATGTAGTCCTAGATAGCCATGTAAAGGTAGCACCTTATAGAGAGATACCGACCACATTAGCTTGGCGTAAGGAACCTCTAGGTGTGTAAAGAAAGGACGAAGAACTGCTGAAACCTAAGGGGCAAGACCCAAGGGACTAAGACTAGAACCAGATGTCCTACAACCGAGTTAGAAAACCGTGGGAATCTGTAAATTAAGATGCGAAGAGAGCCTACAAGTAAGTGGCTTACTGAGTATAATTTTTATACTCATTCCTTTTTGTCAGGTGCCGGTCGAGGTGGAGGAGCGTTGGAGAGCTGTGCGGTCACAGAGGGGGTCGTTCTGGAGCATTAGTCCCTTTTCGGTCTTTTGGAGTCTTTTACGAATTCCTTTTGTATTTGTATTTTAATTTCTTTTGGTAAACTTAAAACCTCTTTTGAAATATTTTAATTTTATTTGATTTTCATCTTTTTATTTCACTCATCTTTTTATTTTCTTTTTTTTTTTTGTTTGTTTTCGATTTCGTCGTTTTAGTCACAACTCGACTTTTCGAAGTCTCGAAAATCGGGTCGTGACAATTTCTTTTCAAAAATTTCATATTTACGACATAATGAGTAGGGATAGTTTTTCATTTTCGCTATTATTGATGACGAGACGTTTATTAAATATGTTATTTCTTTTCAATTTTTCTTTATTCATGACATGTCTTTAAGTAGTGATATTTTTTCATTTTCACTATTATTGATGACAAGACGTTTAGGGTTTTGTGACATAAGAATCGTGGGGATGTAGCTCAGATGGTAGAGCACTCGCTTTGCATGTGAGAGGTACGGAGATTGATACCCCGCATCTCCAAAATAAAACTATCTATTATTAAATATGTTATTTCTTTTCAATTTTTCCTTAGTAGAGTAGCGATATTTCTTTATTTTCACTATTATTGATCACGAAAAATTTAGGATTTTGTGGTGCAAGTAGTGTGGGGATGTAGCTCAGATGTTAGAGCGCTTGTTTAGCATGCGAGAGGTGTGGGGATCGACATCTCACATGTACAAAAGAAACTATTTTTTATTAATAATTTATTTCTATTTAATTTTTCCTTATTTATGACATAATGAGTAGATATTTTTTTTTCATTTTCATTTTTATTGATGACGAAAAATTTAATGTTTTGTGAAGTAAGATTCATGGGGATGTAGCTTAGATGGGGATTGGTACCCAATCTCTAAAGGATAACTATCAATTATTAAATATATTATTTATTTTCAATTTATTTTTATTTATGACATAATGTGCCGATATAGTTTTTCATTTACACTATTATTGATGATGAGAAATTTAGGGTTTTGTGATGTAAGAATTGTGGGGATGTAGCTTAGATGGTAGAGTGCTCGCTTAGCATGCGTGAGGTATAGGGATCAATATCTCTTATCTTCGAAAGAATTTATTCGTTATTAATATTTGCTTTCTATTTAATTTTTCCTTATTCATGACATGATGGGTAGCGATATTTCTTCATTTTCACTACTATTGATGAAAGAAAATTTAGAGTTTTATGATATAGATATAAGAATTGTGGGGATGTAGCTTAGATGGTAGAGCGGTTCGCTTAGCATGCAAGAGGTACGAGGATTGATACTTTGCATTTGCATCCCTTAATTATGACATATTGAGCAGAGATATTTTTTCGTTTTCACTATTATTGATGAATTTAAAGTTTTGTAATGTAAGAATTGTGGGGATGCAGATCAAATGGTTTTATTTCTATTCAATCTTTTTTTTTTATTTTGACATATTGAGTAGAGATATTTTTTTATTTTCACTATTATTGGTGATGGTAGGTTTAGGATTTCGTGATGTAAGAATCGTGGGGATGTAGTTCAGATGGTAGAGCGCTCGCTTCGCATGTGAAAAGTACTTGCATCAACAAAGGAATCCTACTACCAAATATTCTATTTCTATTTCAAATTTTTCTTATTTATGGCATAATGAGCAGGGATAGGACGTTTAGGATTTTGTCATGTAAGAATTGTTGGGATGTAGCTAAGATGGTAGAGTGCACTCTTTGCATGCAAGAGCCACAGGGGGATCGATACCTTGCATCTCCAAAAGTAACTATTTGTTATTAATATTTTATTTTTATTCAATCTTTCCTTATTTATGACATAATGACATTTTCACTATTATTGATGATGGGAAGTTTAAAGGTTTTGTGAGGTAAGAATTGTATGGATGTAACTTAAATGGTAGAGCGCTTGCTTTGCATGCGAGAGGTACAGGGATCGCTATCATGCATCTCCAAAAGAAAACTATCAATTATTAATCTTATTTATGACATAATGAACAAAGGTAGTTTTTCATTTTCACTATTATTGATGACGGGACGTTTTCGGTTTTCTAATGCAAGAATGTGGGGATGTAGCTAAGATGTAAGTGCATCTCCTAAAGAAACAATTGGTTATTAATATTTTATTTCTATTCAATTTTACCTTATTTCTGACCTAATGAACAGAAATATTTTTTCCTTTTCACTATTATTGATGACGGATAGTTTTGGGTTTTGTTATGTAAGAATTGAAGGGATGTAGCTAAGATGGTAGAGTGCTCTCTTTGCATGCGATTGGTACGGGGATCGATACCCTGAATACCTAGCTTTATATTCCTAAATGCTCTATAATATGGTGGTGCCTTAATGAGATATTTTAAATGGATTGTATACGTGTTTAAATGTGGTTTGCGCAACATAAAAAGATAGGGATCTTAAATTTTTAAGATTTTTAAGTCACTCTTGAAAAGTATGGTGTGGGATTAAGAATATATTAAGTCTTCGGACTCATGTTTGCCATTTGTAGAGATGACATATAATAGAGTAATTCATATTACCGTTCTCCTTTAGATCAATTCATTCTAATAATTTTGTGAGTAAAGCAACCACAAGTAAGGTAGATCTGATTAAAACATTGCACAAACAGGTGAAGGAGACAATTGAGAAACAAAAAGTTACTTTAAGAATTAATATTTTTGTGAGTAAAGAAACTATAAGGTCGGATCAAAACATTGCATAAAGAGGTGAAGGAGAACAATTGAGAAACAAATTTCAAAGTTGCTTAAAGAATTAACGAAGGACGGAAGGAAATCATTTTTCAACACGAAAACTTGGTTTGGATACATTTTCGGAAGGAGCAATTTCTATCTCAAAGGAAGACAAAGTTACATCCAAGAGGGGATTAACCCTTATCAAGTTCTTGAAATAATTAATAACAATGCATATAAAATGATCTTCTTGGAGAATTTTCAACACATTCTACTTTCAATATTCAATGTTGCTGACTTAAGCCCTTTTAATGTAGGTGATGATTTTTCTTATTCGAGAACGAATGCTTTTGAAGAGGGGGAAGATGATAAGGATTACGGTAATCCAAATGTTCCAACTAGACCAGCCAATAAGATTCAACAAGCATTCATTCTTCTTTTATAAAATTGGATAGGCTTTGTTCAACTCTTATTTCATGTGTTACAAGCTTATTCGATTGAGGAAGGACCATTTAGAGCTTCAGAAGTGAATATTTACACAGTTCAAGTAGAGGATGAAGTTGCAACCATCCGTGGTTAAAAACTTTATTTATTTTTAATTCATAAAGTATGTAATGGGCAAATTGACCTTGTCTTTGGTGGAGATTCAAGGAGATTTTGATTAAATCCAACCTCTAACTTCTTTGGTGGGGAGACTATAAATATCCTCAAATTTTTATGTAAATATCCTCAAATTATTATGTAAAAATCAGATGGCAGAGGAATGAAATTGATCTCTCAGAGAAGTTCCCCTTAAAAATCCTAGCATTATCTCTACCATTTCTAAGTTTCAACCAATTGTTAGGGATAGAATTGCACATGAGTCTATCAAATTAAGTACCGATTGTGAGGTTGAGTGAAATTCTCAACCTTCTACTATTATTTTTGGGATTTATTCTCTGCCTATTCATTGTAATTTATCCTAATACAAACAAGTTTGTTTTTTAGTGAATGTATTAAGCACATGAGTTTATTAATTACTATGAACTTTTGTTTAAAATGAAGTAAATACAAATGGAGCAAGTATATATACCAATAAAAGAGGAATTATGTTTACTAGTACATTTTTTTTTTAACATGAGATAGAAGTAAACATAGTAGTAAAAAGAAACGACATAAACTTAAAAGAAGTTAATTCCATTTTACAATATAGATATTGTTAAAGGATAGCAAATAAGTAGTTTTGACATATCAATGTAGGTTTTGAAAACTAAAATTAAAAAATTAAAAAATTAAAAAAATTAAAAAAATAAATATAAAATAAAAGTCGTTTTCAAAAACTTAGTTTGTGGTGAAATTTTGCTTAAAATTCATATGTATTGTTTCAATCAATATCTATCCCAAAGGAATGCATTTGCTTTAGTGGCAATGCCGCTTTAACATAATTTCAGCTTAGTTATTCATAATCTTAAGGGTACAAGGTAGGAATTATAGGATATGAACTTTATTTATGTCAATATTTTTTACTTTCAATTTTCCCTTATACATGATATGTTGAGTAGCGATATTTCTTCATTTTCACTATTATTAATGATGAAAAATTTAGGGTTTTGTGATTTAAGAATTGTGGGTATTTAGTCAGATGGTAGAGCGCTTGCGTAGCATTCAAAAGGTACAAGGATCTATACCCTACATCTTCAAAAGAAACTATTTGTTATTAATATTTTATTTCTATTCAATCTTTCCTTAATTATGACATAATGAGACGAGATATTTTTTCATTTACACAATTATTGATGACGGAACATTTAATATTTTCTGATGTAAGAGTTGTGCGGGTGTAGATCAAATGGTGGAGCACTTACTTCTCGTGTGGGTAGTACGGGGATCAATACCTTGCATCTCCAAATGAACGGATTATTAAATATATTATTTATTTTCAATTTTTTCATATTTACGACATAATGAACAAGATAGTTTTTCATTTTCACTATTATTGACGACGAGACATTTAGGGTTTTGTGAGGTAAGAATCGTGGGGATGTAGCTTAGATGGTAGAGCACTTGCTTTGCATATGAGAAGTATGGGGATCGATACCCTTCATCTCCAAAATAAAACTATTCATTATTAAATATGTTATTTCTTTTCAATTTTTCCTTATTCATGACATGTTAAGTAGCGATATTTTTTCATTTTCATTATTATTGATGACGGGACGTTTAGGGTTTTATGTCATAAGAATTGTGGGGATATAGCTCAGATGGTAAAGCGCTCGCTTTGCATGCGAGAGGTACAGGGATTGATATCCCGCATTTCCAAAATAAAACTATCTATTATTAAATATGTTATTTCTTTCAATTTTTCCTTAGTCATGACATGTTGAGTAGCGATATTTCTTCATTTTTATTATTACGAAAATTTAGGATTTTGTGGTGCAAGTAATATGGGGATGTAGCTCAGATGGTAGAGCGCTCGCTTAGCATTCGAGAGGTATTGGGTAATGTGAGGATGTAGCTTAGATGGTAGAGTTCTCACTTAACATTTGAGAGGTATTGGGATCAATACTTCATTTTCACTAGTGGGGATGAGGTTTCAGATGGAAGAGTGCTCACTTAGCATGCAAGAGATATGGAGATCAATAACTACTCTTATTTTGACATATTGAGCAATCTTTTCTTATTTTGACATATTGAGCAGAGATATTTTTTTCATTTCACTATTATTGGTGATGGTAGGTTTAGAATTTTATGACGTAAGAATTGTGGATGTAACTCAGATGGTAGATCGCTTGCTTCAATGTGAGAAGTACGGTGCGATACCCTGCATCTCCAAAGGTACGGTGCGATACCCTGCATCTCCAAAGGAATCCTACTCCCAAATATTCTATTTCTATTTCAAAATTTTCTTATTTATGACACAATGAGAATGGATAGTTTTCATTTTCAATATTTTATTTCTATTCAATTTTTTCTTATGAATAGAAATATTTTTTCATTTTCACTGTTATTCACGACCTGCAGTTTTGGGTTTTGTTATGTAAGAATTATGGGGATGTAGCTTCTGGTAGAGTGCATCTCCTAAAGAAACTATTCGTCATGAATATTTTATTTCTATTCAATTTTTCCTTATTTTTAACATAATGAGCAGAAATATTTTTTCATTTTCACTATTATTGATGACGCGCAGTTTTGGGTTTTGTTATGCAAGAATGGTGGGAATGTAGCTAAGATGGTAAAGTGCTCTGTTTGCATGCGATTGGTATGGGGATCGATACCCCAAACATCCCACTCTATATTCCTAAATGCTCTATAATATGGTGGTGCCTTAATGGGATAGATATTTTATATGGACTGTATACGCCTTTAAATGTTGTTTGCTACAGGCAAAAAACATAGGGATAGTTAAATTTTTAAGTCACTTTTGAAAAGTATGGTGTGGGATAAATTGGATTATTGCCTATTATTTCTAAGAATATATTAAGTCTTCGGACTAATGTTTGCCATTTGTAAAGATGATATATAATAGAGGAATTCATAGTACCGTTCTACTTTAGAGAAATTCATAGTACCACTCATTGTTCTCCTTCTGAAAATGCTTATGAATTTAATCTGCCTATTCTTTCTAAGAATATTAAATCTTGGGATGAATGTTTGCCATTTGTAGAGATGGCATGTAATAGAGCAATTCATAGTACCGTTCTCCTTTAGATCAATTCATAGTACCACTTATTGTTCTCCTTTTGAAGATGTTTATGGATTGCCTCTTGATTTGCTTCCTATCCATTCTAATATTTTTGTGAGTAAAGCAACCACAAGTAAGGTCTAATCAAAACATTGCATAAAGAGGTGAAGGAGATAATTGAGAAACAAAATTTTAAAGTTGCTTCAAGAATTAACAAAGAACGGAAGGAAATCATTTTTCAACTTGATAACTGGGTTTGGATACATTTTCACAAGGAGCGATACCCATCTCAAAGAAAGACAAAGTTACATCCAAGAGGGGATGACCCTTATCAAGTCCTTGAAATAATTAATAACAATGCATATAAAATGATCTTCTTGGAGAATTTTCAGCACATTCTACTTTCAATGTTGCTGACTCGAGTGCTTTTGATGTAGGTGATGATTTTTCTGATTCGAGGACGAATTCTTTTGAAGAGGTGGAAGATGATAAGGATCACGGTGTTCCAAATGTTTCAACTTGACCAGCCAAGAAGATTCAACAAGCATTCACTCTTCATCTTTATAATTGGATAGGCTTGGTTCAACTCTCATTTCATGTGTTACAAGCTTATTCAATTGAGGAAGGACCATTTGAAGCTTTAGAAGTGAATATTTACGCCGTTCAAGTAGAGGATGAAGTTGCAAGCATCATTACATGATTTGTTAGAAATCTTTATTTATTTTTAATTCATAAAGTATGTAATGGTCAAATTGTCAAATTGACCTCGTCTTTTGTGGAGATTCAAGGGAATTGAGATTAAATTCTTGCCCCTAACTTCTTGTGTGGAAGACTATAAATATCCACAAATTATTATGTAAAAATCAAATTTGAGAGAAATGAAATTGATCTCTAAAGTTGAGAAGCTTGGAGCATCATATATGTCATTTCTAAGTTTTAAGCAATTGTTGGGTAAAGTTGAGAAGTTTTTGGGTAAAGTTGTGAAGTTTTCTAAGTTTCAAGCAATTGTTGGATAAAGTTGAGAAGTTTGGAGCATCATATATGTCATTTATAAGTTTCAAGCAATTGTTGGGGTAGAATTGGATCTGAGCCATTCAGTCTTTAAGTTTGTTTTTGTAGAGAATGTATTCTAAGTTTCAAGTCATTGTTGGGGTAGAATTGCATCTGAGCCATTGATTCTTTCAAGTTTGTTTTTGTAGAGAATGTATTAAGCACACGAACTTAATAATTACAGTAGACTTTTGTATAAAATGAAGTAAATACAAATAGAGTAAGTATATATAACAATAAAAGAGGAATTATGTTTACTAGCACATTTTTTTTTTAACCTGAGATAGAAGTAAACATAGTAATAAAAAAAAATTACATAAACTTAAGAGAAGTTAATCCCATTTTACAATATAAATATTGTTGAATGGTAGCAAAGAATTAATTTTAACATATCAATCTAGGTTTTGAAAACTAAAATTAAAAAATTAAAAATTTTAAAATAAATATAAAATAAAAGTCGTTTTAAAAAACTTTGTTTGTGGTAAAATTTTACTTAAAATTCAAACGTATTATTTCAATATTTATCCTAAAGGTATCAATAATGTCATGTAGATAACGAAGATATGGAGAACCAAAGATATCAATTGTGTCATGTAGATAACTGAGTATCGTGTAATCGTGTAAACTGATGGGTTCGTTGGATATGGAGGCTGACTATTTATAGTAAAATATATATATATATATATATACTAAATATTTATGGAGGCTGACTATTTATAGTAAAAATGAGATATATATATATACTAAATATTTATGGAGGCTGATTATTTATAGTAAAAATCTGATAGAAATATATATACTAAATATTGTAGAAAAAATGGAGGACCAAAGATATAAATAAAATGGAGGACTAAAGATATCAATAGTGTCATGTAGATAACGGAGTGTCGTGTAAACTGATGGATTCTAAGGAGGACCAAAGATATCAATAGTGTCATGTAGATAACGGATTGTGATAACACAGTGTCGTGTAAACTGATGGAGATATATATACTAAATATTTATGTACATTAGGCATAGAAAAATGGACGACCAAAGAGATCAATAGTGTCATGTAGATAACGGAGTGTCGTGTAAACTGATGGGTTCCAAGGAGGACCAAAGATATCAATGGTGTCATGTACAATAACAAGTGTGATAACACAGTGTGTGTAAACTGATGGGCTCCCAAGAATATTGGATATAGAGGCTGACTATTTAGAGATATATATACTAAATATTTATATATATATATATAGGTATGGAGGCGGACTATTTATAGTAAAAATTGGGATATGGAGGCTCACTCTTTGGAGTAAAAAGTTTTTTTTTTTTCTTTAAACTCTCTCCAGGCTTACTATTTAGTAAAAATCATCAAGATATGGGGCTGACTATTTATAGTAAAGATAAGATAGATACAGGTAAACTGATCGGTTCCAAAGTTTCCCGTCTCCATTTGCTTAATTTTTCTTTAAACTCTTGTAAAAAATACTAACTATTGGCTCTAGAATGTTAGATATGGAGGCTGATTATAGTACAAATCAGATAGAGATATATATACTAAATATTTATATATTTATATGTAGTAGGTGGTTATGTGTTAAAGCTATATATATATATAATAAACTGAAATGATATATATACTCATTCGTCAGTTCTTTCAAAATCTATGCATACCTTGAAGTCATTAATACAAAACTTTTAGTCAATATTTCTCCTTACATTCTCTCTATCAAGTTCTTTGTGAAGATGGAAAGTTCAAAGACAAGAATTGAAAAGTTTGATGAATTCGATATCAGTTTCTAGAAGTTTCTAGAAGATGCAGATTGAAGATTATATGACTAAAAAGATCTTCAGAAATCCCATTTGGGGGTGAAGCAGAATACCATGACCACGGAGGACTGGAAGCTCAAGGATCGTCACACCTTAGAGTTGATCTGGTTGACGCTGTCCAGAAACATGATGTTCAACATTATCAAAGAGAAGACGACATCGGGCCTATTGAAGGTGTTGTCAAATATGTACGAAAATTCGTCCGCTATGGACAAGGTGTATTTGATGCAGAGGTTGTTCAATCTACAAATGTCTGATGGAAGCTTTGTTGCAGATCATATAAATTAGTTCGACGTGATTGTCAGTCAATTGAGCTTAGTGGAAATTATGTTCAAAAATGAAATTAAAGCATTGATTTTGATGTCATCTTTACCTGAGTCGTGGTATACTATTGTTGCTGCAATCAACAATTCACGAGGATCTAATAAATTGAAGTTTGATGAAATTCGAGATGTCAGCAAAAGTATTCTCAAACGAGAAGTAAATTAAAGAGCCCAAACAAACATGAGCGATCAAAATCAAGGAATCAAGAAAAATCTCCAAACAAATCGAATGTAGAGTGTTAAAATTGTGGAGAAAAATGACACCTTCGGACAGGTTGTACAAATTGAAGAAAAGCAAAATCACAAATTTGAATTTGAAGTTGACATTGATTCTATATAAGATACTAAGGATGCTTTAATTCGTAGCATGAATAGCCCAATTGAATTCTGGATTTTAGATTCAGTTGCATCGTTTCTTTTGTCTTCAAGTAAGGAATTATTTCAAAATTTCAAGTAAGGAAATTTTAGGAAGGTGTATCTTGCCGACACAAAACCTTGAAGATTGAAGGGAAGAGAGATGTCTACATACAAACTCTAGCAGAAAATGGTGGACGTTATAAGATGTCAGATATATTTCTGATCTCAAGAAGAATCTGATCTCTATAACACAGATTATGCAGCCGAGTGTGGGAATAGTTTGGGGAAGATTGTGAAGGGTGTCACGGTGGTAGCATGACACAAAATCTGGAACCCTATACACCATTGTAGGGTGTATAAACATGGTTGTTGTTGCTAAGAGTGCTTTCAATTAAAGTCTACTTGAATTTGAAGCACTCTGAGCAACAACAATCATGTTCATACACCCTACAATAGTGTCAATAGACTTGTACATATGAGACTCAAAGAAATGAAGATGATGGCTGCGAATGGAATTTTAGAAGGCCTAAGATATATTGATATGGGTGTTTGTGAGAGCTGCGTTATGGAAAAATATAAATGAGTTAGCTTCACAAAGACTGTCAGAGAACCAAAGAAAGTTCTATTAGAAATGGTCCATACAGACGTTTGGGGACCATCTCCAATTCTAGTACCAAAATTCCATTTGTAAGATGTCTCGCACTCTACATCGACAACTCTCTGTTTACCTAAGACTAGTGAGATATCTCACGACTACTCTTTTCCTCCTTACCATATCTAGACACTATAACTTTGATCCAGTATTGTCTTATATGGTTAACATTCACTCTTTAATGTCCAAGGATATTTTATAACTATCACGAAACTCAAACCATACAATAAATTCATACAAGTTTTAAAATATATCATATATTTCGACATAGGGTTAGACTGCTTACTTGATCGTGGTGAGACATGTCATCAAACTAAGTCATAGAGAATATACGACTCTTTATTCTAAGAAAAAATCTATATCATCTAAAATTCGACTGCTCTAATATCAATTTGTCACAATCAAAATTTGGAGGGTTCAAAACTCAAATAGAAACTAAAATGGAGAGTGGAAACAAATAAAAATAAAAGTAAATTAATATAAAATAAGAAAATGCTATAAAATTAAAATAAGATTTAGAGTTTAATCTATCTTTACCTATATTTTTCTCTTCATTTATAATTAGTCATAAAAAGAAATAATTGGCAGTACTTTTACCGGATTCAATTCCAATTTCTTCGCAAAACTCTACAAATCTCTCTCTAACTCTCTTTCAAAACAATTCCCCTTCTTTATTTTCTTCTTCTTAGTTTTATTTTCTCTTTTTCTTCATTATTGAAATCTAATTAGGGATTTTACTGTCCTCTAGTCTGGAAAGATGGGTCAAAATGAAAAAATTGAGAAATTAATCCTTATTTGAATTCGCGTTACAGCATAACATAACATAATACATGTCAAACACTCTCAAAATACGACACGTGAAATGGCTGCGAAGCACGTGTTGTTAATACCTCATACAATTCATCCAACCAAGCCAATAGTAACACCATTCACCTGGTTGGCCTAAAGAGAAGTCACTGAATTTCCTGTATAGATGTTCGTTAGATCATACTCATCGATGTCAAGTTCCAAAGCTAAATCCAAATCGACTTCCTTCACTCTCTTTCTTTTTCTCCTTCTTTATTCAAATCGGCATTATTAGGGATAAAGAAAGGAAGAGTTGGAGATTGAGATATGGGAAGAGAAATAAAGAATGTGATACAGGAAGAGGAGGAAATGGGAGGAAGGGGAGAACATGAATAAAATGAGCACACACGCAACTCCTAAGCAAGTTTGAACTCTTAGTACCTTAAATAAAGTTGGTCTTCTCTAATAAAACAGGAATTTCTCTTATGATCATTAAATTCTTATAGATTCCAAGCTTAATATCATTAATACAATTATGCTTTATCTTGAACACGCCAAACATGAAACTAAAGTGCATTCAGTTTAACTCCATTTTATTACCAATATTGAATCATGTGTAGGGTATATTATTGATTTACCTTAAAGTTCTTGTGACATGATAGTTCATATTAATTAAGCTTTTTACAAAATCACAGTTAAAAGACAACAACAATGAACCTAGGTTTATTAGTCTTTTAAAAGACAATTTCTTTGTCAATCTTATCGGTAATAACAGTTCAACTAAATCCATATTATGCAAAGAAACAAGTTTATGACCCATAATAACAACTACCTAAATTATGACCTAAAAATTTGAAAACATAAGTTGTAATTAATAATTACACAAAAATTTTCCTAAATCCATGAACTCATGTCCAATTAGTCAATCCTAAAGATTGTAACTAGTATAGAGTAATTGAAGCTCCACATGAAGTAATTTAAAGTTCCCGTTACTTAACTAAAGTTTATCTCATCTTTAAAAAAACATGAGTTGCACTTAAGTTCATGAAATGCTTATAGATTCCAACTCTTAGTACTATTAATGCCAGTATGTTTCAGATGAGTTTGTCATAAATGAAACTAAGATGCATTCAATACAACTTTATTTTGTTGTCTTACGAGGCAAAATAGAAGAATTAAATCAAACAAACTGATGAACTGAACTGAATCAATCAAACCCAAATTGATTAGTTTATTTTGTTGGGTTGTTCGTTTATTTGATAACCCTAGTTATAGCCATGCAACCACTCAAAGAAAAATATATTTGAGTAGAAGCTAAAAATATTTGGTTTGGTGATATGATTCTCACTTAGGGTGCAAGAGGTTTTGAGTTCAATTCTTGTAATGCCCCTATGACTAAATCTTTTCTTATCGAAGGACTTCATATTAATATAAACTTTTTGTTCCTATATCAAACATACCTTTTAACTTCTGTACACCAATTGTTGGGCAACAAAGATTAAAAAGTTTTTCTTTACATCCCAAGACTTTATACTTACCATCTTAGGAAACAAAAAAAAAAAAGAAACATCCCAAGACTTTATACTTACCATCTTAGGAAACAAAGAAAAAAAAAAAGTTCTTATTATGTTCTTGTTTTGTTCTCCACGACATATTCTCATCGAGGACTTCATGTGTTTCCTGTAATACAACAAAATATGATCTTAATACCTAGGTCCAAGGCTTCATACATACGTTTCAAATGGCATAACAAGGGCATTTGGTCTAGTGGTATGATTCTCGCTTTGGGTGCGAGAGGTCTCGAGTGCAATTTTCGAAATACCCTTTCAAGAGATTGTAGAATTAAAGATATTTACAAAGTAAATAAATATACTTTAAAATGACACAAGTTAAATACATACATTCGCATGAAATTGTGAATATGCCTTTCATACATACAGTTCAAGTAACACATAACAAGGACATTTGGTCTAGTAGTATGATTCTCACTTTGACTGCAAGAGTTCTTGAGTTAAAAAAAAAAAAAAAAAAAGAGTAAATATGAAAGAATGAAGTGAATACTCCACCATTTGTTACTCTTCAATTTCTATTTTAGTATTTTGTGAGGTAAGAATCGTGGGGATGTAGCTCAAATGGTAGAGCAATCCTCTTGCATGCGAGAGGTGCGGGCATCGTTACCATGCATCTCCAAAGAATATTATCAATTGTTAAATATATTATTTCCTTTCAATTTGTTCTTATTTATGACATAATGAGGAGAGGTGCGGGCATTGTTACCATGCATCTCCAAAGAAGACTATCAATTGTTAAATATATTATTACCTTTCAATTTGTTCTTATTTATGACAATGAGGAGAGAGCTCAGATAGTAAAGTAATCGTCTTGCATGCGAGAGGTGCGGGCATCGTTACCATGCATCTCCAAAGAATATTATCAATTGATAAATATATTATTTCCTTTCAATTTGTTCTTATTTATGACATAATGAGGAGAGGTGCGGGCATCGTTACCATGCATCTCCAAAGAATACTATCAATTGTTAAATATATTATTTCCTTTCAATTTATTCTTATTTATGACATAATGAGGTGAGATAGTCCTTCATTTTCACTATTTAGTTTTTCATTTTCACTATTATTGATAACAGGATGTATGGGTTTTGTGTCCTTCATTTTCACTAATTAGTTTTTCATTTTCACTATTATTGATAACAGGACGTATGGGTTTTGTAATGTAAGAATTTTGGGGATGTAACTAAGATGGTAGAGTGCTCTTTTTGCATGTGAGAGGTATAGGGATCGATTGCCCGCATCTCCATTAGTCTTACTTCAAAAATGATCTCCATTAGTCTTACTTCAAAAATGATTAATGATGAATAAGTAAAATTGATTATATTAACAATTTATATGAAGATCAAATAAAGTAAATGAAATAATGATGATATGTTGAATGCACACTTGAATATGAAGTCCATGATGGTGTTAATCTAACACATCATGATGGTGTTAATCTAACACATGCGGAAGCAATTTGGATCTTAGGCAATTTTAGAACATCAATTATTGTAAATAACTAGCATGTTCATAAGTATTAAAACTTAATGAGTTTAAATACTAACCTTTTATAGTTCAAACTTCTT